TTCAGCTTCAGGAAAATCGTCCTGCGCTGTCCCCCCCGAGCCACGCGCGCTTTCAGCTTCAGGAAAATCGTCCTGCGCTGTCCCCCCCGAGCCACGCGCGCTTTCAGCTTCAGGCAAATCGTCCTGCGCTGTCCCACCCGAGCCGCGTGCGCTTTCAGCTTCAGGAAAATCGTACTGCGCTGTCCCCCCCGAGTCGCGCGCGCTTTCAGCTTCAGGAAAATCGTACTGCGCTGTCCCCCCCGAGTCGCGCGCGCTTTCAGCTTCAGGAAAATCGTCCTGCGCTGGACTCTTTTAGTATACAGATCCAAAAATCAGATCCAAAGGCTGTGCATGCGCTGTCCCCCCCCTCACATTCTCATAAGCTTCACATCTACGGTAAGTCATCCATTTTCAGCAAGGACAGATGCGTAATTGAGGGAAAAAAACAACAAAACTGGAAAGAAGGAAAAATGCTATTTGGGAAATGCAGCCTTTGTACTAGAAAGATTCTGCAAACAGGTCAACAGCCTTCCTGTCAGCTTTCAGATATTTTAAATTGCTTTCTTTTCCCTCTATTTAACGATCCTTCCTTTACTGGGAGGGTCACCTTTGAATGTTGTGGCTGTTTTTTTAATAGAAGGCTACAACAGGGAACAAGTCTGTATGAAAAGGTGCACAAGCCAAACCGCTTTTGGTGTCTGATTTTCTGGACTGAAGAGCAAAGGAAAAAAGGATGAGAGGCACCGAAAGAGCAAAGTCACAATACCTGTGACTGAGAAGCAGCACGTGGCTGCGAAGGACACCCCTCCAGCCATGTCTGTGTGGCTCCTGCACTCTGACACAAGCCGAAAGCCGAGTTAGCAGCACCGCTAAAGATACCTTACTGTCACCCGCAATTGCTCTGTAATAAACACAGGGTGTCCCTCTTGGGTCCACAAAACGCCAGAAGAAAGGGGGTCTGGTGCCGTTCCACATGCCAACGGCAAAATTAGCTAACTCGCAAATTAACTGTCTGACAGCGAAAGTGACGCTGAACTAAGATCTCAGTGACGGCGTACCATCAGTCAGCCCCCCCAGGAGCACGTCGCTGTCAGCTAAAGGTCACAGCAGTGCTGGCTGTCTCACACACTCCTCAGCACCGTGCGCTCCTGGCCTGGGGCAAAAATCTAATCAAATCAGTGTTTGGATACCCAAGGTCACAATCCTCTACAGTGTTTCCTGCTCAAGGAATATGTCTTCAGAACATCATTGTTCATTATCAAGGGAGGAGTTTATAGTTTCCACTGAAATCCCTCAACAAAGTAGCACAGCAGAAACCCTAAATGGGACCTTGACAAAAAGGATTTAGCGTGTCAACTGAGCACATGTAAGGCGGACCTCAAGTAATTATACAGGTTAACAGGTGATTTTCATCAGAAGTAATTTTATGTGGGTTTTGTAGTATTTTTCCTGCTGATTTCAAATCTGTGTTTAGTTTTTCTCTAGCACGTCAAGTTTTAGTGATGAAGCTATATGTAGTATGATATTATGTACATGTAGTCTGCCTAAGTGTATTACAAGAGTTGTCTGTGTTTTTTATCTTATAGACAGCATCACCGCTCTCTAGCTGACTAGATATTGATTCATATTTTATTGACACTTGTCTAGTTGCGATTTGCATATAATTAATTTGACCTAGTGCACATGTCTTGCGTAAACTTAGTTTGGCGGGAGACACAGGTAGATGTGTCTCAGGTTTCGTTTTGCTGACGTAAGCTTATTGCAAAATAAATAGTAAATCTAACTCACGACTTTGAATTCTGGGTCATCGTCTTGGAAATCGAAGGCGGCGGTGACAGACACCATCAACTGTGTTGGCTTTCAGTTGTTATCATGCCTAGAAATTGCATTAATCATGCAACAATGGTGGTTAGCAAACACTTTTCAATTTCTTTATGCCCACTATCTGTTTATTTCATTTTGCTCTAAAGAATATTTTACCCTATACTACAGTGATGCTTTTGTTTTAGTACACAATACTTGCAATTACAGTATTAACTAGCATTACTCATAAATCAAAAAGTTTACGTGACAGAAAAAAACTGAAAACAGATATGGAATCAGCGTGAAAAAACAAAACAAAAAATGTGTTTTGTTCTCTGATGATTTAAAAAAAATGTTTTTTTGTTGTCCTTTGTTAATCCCTCTCCAGCTTCAACACTTAAGCATTTGTTTCTGTAAATACACATTTCTTTTTACTGCCCATTACTTACTGGGACACCAGCATTTTAAATTCCAGCTCTGGAGCCGAGCAGCATTGCAAGCAGGGGCCAGGCACCATGCGATGTGGATTTCCAGCAAATCAGAGATGGGGACTGACTGTGTCGGGGGAAGGACGAAGCAGAAAAGGAGTAGGGAGGTGGGCGCCCACAGTGTCATGCTCGCGAACCAGCAAACCGGCAAGCAGGGGAGAGGAGCCAGGAAGCAGGGAAAAACAGGGATTTATTCAGGTAACAGGACCGGGGAAGCACGACAGCAAACATCAATGACAAGTCTGGGGAAGACTGACTCAGACGAGGACTAAATACACAAGACAAACTGAGTTTAACGAGCAACAGTTGAGAACAATCAGGCATAAACACGAGGTAACGAGGTGGGCGTGGCACACACAAGGATCATACGGAGCTGGGCGTGACACACAGGAGCTGTTACTGGTCTTATCAAGAATACTCCAGTGCTACAGGCTGTGTTACTGAAGGGGCAGACGGGGGACAGCTGGGCTTTGCACAGCCAGGACCACCGAACTCCCTGCCCCACCAGCCAGCTCCCTGCACCAAGGGGTTTATATTCATAGACAGGTAGTGTAGCACCTCTCCATAGCATTACACCATGACAGAGGAGCTACATTTCTGAGAATCTCCACCATGTCCTGCTTGGATGTGGACGGCACTGCGTGTGTGGAGCGGGCAGAGCAGGATGGGACAATGGCATAATCCTCACAGAGGAAAGCAGTGTGCATGCTGCTGGTATACTGGGGGGCTGCGGGGGGGGGGGGGGCTAGCAAAAGATATAGATATGGGTGGAATGTGGGGGAAGTGTCTCTGAGGGGTTTAATGACACCCCAGCAGTTCTGTTACCAGAGTGACCCATTGCCTGCTTCTGCAGTCACTCCCTTACTTTTACCAACATGTAGACTTTTCAGAAAAAAAGCTGACATTTTTCCTGCTGGGATGATACATCATGTGTCACGGAGCAGCCATTTATCTGCGGAATGCCGTCCCAGCGTATCCTCAGCCTCCGCTGGAGCATTTTTCTGAGCTTTGTGGAGCACGGTGTCAGGAGTGTAAACAAATGCATAACAATGTGTCTGTGCTCCTCCCGTAAACTGTGGTGGCACCAACCAGGACGTGGTGTCATAGACACGGAACAGCCTGGATCAGGCATACAGCCCGGATTCCGCAGCACTGTGACATCACGAGTGCGGCATCAGCTGTAGGACTACCCGCTGGTCACCCGGTTTTCGAGACCTGGTGTTGATGTCCTTCTTATTTTGGTCCAACTTCTGATAACTCTTTCTTAAGCTGATCCAGGGATCCACTTTTGGGGGTAGTTCTCAATAACCCATTTTTTGGGGATAGCTCTTGGTAGATAATTTATTTCATATAATCTACATAATACAGAAATATGATTAGACCAAAAAAAAACAAAGTAATACAATTTGGACAAATCAGATTTCCAGAATCTTTTTAAAACACAGATCTGCAGCCATTATTTTGAAGACAGCTTTGGAATGTATCAATAAGCATACAGTTCATGATCAAACTGCTGGCACTAAAGTAGACGAGTAAAAGCTCAGGTAAGTATTAAGAGCTACTTTCCCAAGCACCTCAAACTCTCCAGAAGGAAAACTGCAAGCTCACAAGACCCTAGGAGAAGGACAGGTGAAGGTCACCGGCATCACCCCCTGATCCAACACTGCATTTTCCTGACCTCTGCAAGGCACTGGGGGTGGAAATTTTGTCAGATGGCAATGATGGTAGGTTTAAAAATAGCAGCATTCACAGAAAAAGGCTTGTGCTCTAGATCCTTCTCTAAAGAGTAATGCTGTAAATCCTCTTCTAATCAGTCGTGCTCTAGATCCTCCTTGAAAGATCCATGCTCTATATCCTCCTCAAAAGAGTAATGCTCTAGATTCTCCTCTACAGAGTAATGACCTACATCCTCCTCTAAAGAGTAATGCTCTAGATCCTCTTCTAATCAGTTGTGCTCTAGATCCTCATCTGAAGATTCATGCTCTATATCCTCCCCTAAAGAGTAATGCTCTAGATCCTTCTCTAAACACTGGTGCTCTGAATCTTCTAAAGATTTATGCCGCAGATGTTTGGAGCTGCTCCTCTTCCCACATCACACATGGTAAGCTGTGTAGGAGTACAACTCGAGATCAAGCAGTACTATCCCTGTTTTTTCTTGTAAGTGGAGCGATTGATGAATTCAGGAGAGAACATCCCATGAACACTGCCGCCCTCTGACAGCTACACAGGCAGCTTCTGCTTGTCACATTCCTACAAAATTCATATCTACTGTATGAGGTGAAAAAATCCCATTGAAGTCCACTTAGCCTGTCAGACTGGGATACAATACCTGGTACATCCACCGAAGCTGATACATCGCCCTGCATATCACGGAAACCTGTTATCATGCCATAGAGTAATCAAAGGCCATGAAGTACAATTCAGTGGCAGCATGCAAAGGAAGAGATCACCGTACATGAGACCGCCTCACCTTGTTGGGGTCACCAGTGGTCATGACCCTGATGCAGTGACAGTACGCGGGGTACATGGGAGTGCCTCAATTTACTGATGTCAACAGTGGTCATGACCCAGACATAATGACAGCATGAGGAATACATGAGTAAGTCTCAACTTGCTGGGATTGTCTGTGGTCATGACCCAGACACAACGACAGCATGCAGAGTACATGAGAGAGTCTCACCTTGCTGGGGTCACTGGTGGTTATGACCCAAACGCAGTGTGCGTTATTCTCGTACTGGACTGGGTAGTTTGGAGACGTGATGACCCCCTTCGGACCTCTTAGGTTGGATCCGCACGTCCTCGCTGCAGAATACAGAGAGGAGTGAATTACGAAGTGACCATTGAGCTGCTTGGAATGCAAATGGGATTCCGGGGAAATGTGACAGTGAGGTATCTGATCATGGGATTCGGGACCCTCTGTATGACCGAGAACCTGAAATATCATTTTCCCTCACAGGCCTCGCAAAGTGGCATACACTGTATACACAACAAATTGGAAAAACAAGAGGCATTTATTGGAATAAAAAAACAAGTAATAAATTCAAGACAAAGAAATAATTTAATTTGTCCTGGAATATACATTTAAATGCTTACATCTGCAC